GAAATCTGTGGTGGTCTCCTTTTTTTTCCCCTCCCCTGAAACGACTAGCAATAAAAATGCTATTATCTACACCTGGCCCCAGTAACTTGACGGGCAGCCTTCTTCAGATGACAGCTGAGAATCCGCTTAGAGCTTTAGTCGATTTGTTTAGTGAGCAGAGGGCAGCCAAGCCTCTTGATTTTCTCAGCTGTCCCACAGAGCTCTGCCTATTTGGTGTTTTGTTTAACACTCGAAGGCTTTGGAAAGGACACAACCAAACAGGATGATGGAGAGATGCAACCGGGAAAATGGCCGAGACACCGCAACACCACTTGTGTTTTCCCAGACTGAGTAGGGCTGGTTCGAGCCAACCAGTGGCAGAGCCTTGGTTTGTGTACAAGGTCCCACCACAGACAATTCAACTGCTAGAAACGTCTGAGAGCGTCCCCTGCTGGCTAGGCAGCACTGCCATCCGCAAAAAACTTTATGAACAGAATTGAAGCCTGGGCACAGATCCCCGGGACAGACCCTGCTCCCGCACTCGAGGGTTGGCCTTGTAGACGATTCGACTGACGTTCGCTTTGGCTTTTCTTCTCCGTCTTTTCGCATCCTAGTCCAGAAGCGTGCGCTTCCTGGTCTGCGGAGTTTTCACCACGTCTACCTGGCACGTCGTACGTGTTTTAACTCACACACATCCACTGTCTCCTTTCAGGTGGCCATTCATTCTGTGCTCGAGAAGCTTTTCAGAAGCATTTGGAGTTTACCCAACAGCAGAGCCCCGTTTGCGATAAAATACTTCTTTGACTTTTTGGATGCCCAGGCTGAAAACAAAAAAATCACTGATCCTGATGTGGTCCATATCTGGAAAACAAACAGGTGGGCGTGTGGACGGTTACTGACAGTTTTCCAGAATCTGGGGCAGACTGGGAACTAAAACTGAGGGGACAGAGAGGGAGAAAGAGTTCTTTGTCCTGGTGTCTGAAATGCTGTGCTTGGTAAGTCGGAATCGTGTCTTGCATTGTTGCTGTTTTAAAACAATGAAAACCAGTACAGAGCTGCGAATTCTTTTCTTTCAGAATAAACAAAACCTGTTCTCCTGAATGTAAGGGAAAAGGCCTACTAAAATGTTAGCCCAGCGTTAGCTTGACCAGGAGGATGAGAAATTAGTCTCCGGGAATGATCTCCCAGTGGTTTCATTAGAGCAGATTCTGCTATTTGTCCCTAAAAGAATCAGTCGCTTTGCAATCTCCAAGCTGTCTTCTCAGTTCATGTCCAAGCCATTCCAAGCACTGGCGTCAGCTGGGCCATGACCATGAAGGATTAGAAAAAGCTGTGGTTCCATAGTCTGTGTCAAACGCCTCCCAGTCAGCCCTGCTCCAGCCCACCTCTCGGCTCAAGTTCTGGGTTCTAGTTCAGGCCCTCTACACAGTTAGTCACGCACCAGGTGTGGGTGCTGCAGCCCATCGTCACCGGGATGGCAGTGCGTCTGAGCAGGGGCAGCAGCTGGCGCAGTAGTGCCCAAAGTGCCTTGCGTCAATAGAAAGACCCGGCAGCCAGATGGTGGAGGCCAGAGATCGACCTCGACAGCCCTCAAGCTTCTATGCAGCTATTGAGGGCCCGTGATGTGCCTGTTCTGAGAGCTGGAGATAGAGACCACAGTTCCTTTCTGTCTAGTCAGTTTCTACTCCTGGTGTGTCAGAGTAGAACTGTGCTCCGGACGGTTTTCAGTGGCTGATTAAAAAATAAATTAAAAAGATAGCCAGGCCTTTCTTCCAAAGCACCTTTAGGTGGACGCAAGCCTGGTGTGTGAACCATTGGCATCACCTAGGGAACAGAATAGGCAAAAATCTGTGTCCTCGAGGAGTTTACATTTGTGAAGAACCCAATACACCAAACGGCTGCTACTGTGTTAACTCTGACTCTTAGTGTGACCCTAGAGAGAGGTTTCCGAGACTCGTAGTGACCCGATAGAGAGGTTTCCAAGGCTGGGCATCTTTACAGCAGCGGATAGCCGCAGCTTTTTCCCTCGGAGTGGCTGCTAGGCTTGAACTGCCAACCTTGTGGTAGGCAAGCCAATTCTCACCCAACAGGCCCACCAGTGCTCTTGAGTGGGTGAAGGCAAACAGTAACGAAAATAGGTGCTAGCACATGAGAAGGCCTAAGCATGATGGAGCGCGTGGGGCGGGAGAACAGAGCCCGTCCGCAGAGAGAGGTTTAGAGGTGGTTGCACTGAGACAGTGACTTTGAGCCAAGTCTTGAAAAAGGTGAGGGCACAACTCCGGATCACCTGGGGCAACTGTTTCAGGAAGACAGGTGACAGGAGCACACGTCCTGAGGCAGGCGCTTGTCTGGTTTGCTTGAAGAACCTCAAAGCGGCCAGTGTCTTTGGGATGAGTGCCGAGTAGCAGGTGATGTGGGCACTGGGCCACATCCATCCGGCACTCACCTGCAAGGAGATGGAAGGCCAGGCAGGATTTTGAGCAGGGGAGAGGCACAATCTGATTCTTGGTTGAAAGGACCCCTGGTAGTTGTATGGAGAAGGAGGTGCTAAGGGGTGGGGGGTGGGGGCGTGCAGGGAGTTGTAATCCAGGTGCGAGAGATGGCGGCCATGTAG